CATTTAAGAAGCTGTTACAAACTGTCAAACAAAAAATATGTATCTTGTGAATTAATGAGGCTTCCTAAAGATACAAACTGTGTCTGTACACAGCATGCGGTGATGGTGAAGGGAGAGCAAGCAGAGCATGGCAAAAAGAGCTTGCAGCTGCCAGTGCAGGGTTCTGCCCTGAAGAACTCCCAGAGGAGGGTTCATTGTCCCCAGCACCAAGCCAGCATGGGCTGAAGTAGTCCTCAATGAGCCTAAGTTAGAGAAAGGACATTGGCAAAAGTGGGAATGGGAGCTATATACTTCCCTGCATTCAAGAACATATTCACATACTCAGATGAGAAAGGCATTGAGGTGGGAGTTACTTGTACTCACTAAGGAACAAGAGTTTTCCCACATTCATTCCTGTTGATAAAGTCCTGGTACCACAGGCTTTGTGGGTGGTGATACAGCACATGACAGGCATCCCCAAGTGGTTCTCATGTCTCTGTTACTGGAGGGCAAGTAAATGAAGGTTATGTCTAGGCCTTAGCATTGAGATATTTCTGGGCAGCCCACATGTACTGCCAATAGACTCTGCTTGGACTCTCTCCACTCTTATCACTTGCCTCTGTGCAATGGAGTGACTACAGGAGCAAGGGCAGGCAGCAGGGGAAGGGAGAGCTCTGGGGCAAAAGCAAAGAGGATGGAGAAAGGGAGAAAGCAGAAAGGAGACTAGATAGGTAGAAGTCTGGCAGCAAGGCTCTTCAAGGACACAAATTCTCTTTCCCTGCTTTAAAGAGTTAAAACAGTGTGGAAATTAATACATGCTCAGATTTACAAGCACAGTACAGAACACAAATGGTATTAGGCAAGGCTGGGGAAGGTATCTGATTTTCAGTCCCAGCTCTTTGTACTTCCCTTCCCAAATACTTCCCAATGCTCTTTCAATGAAGGTCACAAACCTCCTCTGCTCTTACTTTTTCTGGCAGGAAAAGCAGCAAGAGCCTCCCAAAATTTCTTGCTTGCTAAAGGACTGGGAATTGCAATACCTTTCTACCTTGCTAATTGAAGATGACCAGGAATTTATTGCAAACGTTAAATTCTGTGGAAATTGCTGATTTCTCTAAAACAGTGTTCCAAAGGGGGCTTTGCTGAACTTCCATCAAAATGTTGGTGTGTTTCTGGGAAGCACTGGTGGACTCCCACTGACCAATAGGCAGCAAGCTGGAGAGGGGCCGGGTGGAAGACGGGTTGATGTCCTCAGCCGAGCACTCAGGTTCTGGGCCTGATAAAACCATGAGGACTTGCATCTTTGTGGCACCTGGAAGGTCCGGTTTCCAACACATGCAGCAGAGAACCCTGAAAAGTACCTCTGACATCTCCTAAGTTCCTCTCTTCTTCTACGCCAGAAATTTGCATGGTGCCCTCTGTGTTTGCAATGTGCTGAAACAGATAAGCAAAACTCACCTGTATGAAACACTTCCTGACCTGCTGCCCTCAGCCTCGAGCGCAGACATACCTGAGACACCTGTCTCCCAGATGTCCTCCAGCACATGACACGTGTGAGAGGGTGGGAGGGGGGCTTCGACCAGCAGCTATGCCAGGTTGTCAGTCTTGCATCATCACCAGTTGTCTGCAGCACCTGATCCTTTGGAGATGTCAACTTCACACCTTTCCATTGTGGTGACCAGTGATGGAAGGGTGAGCTAAAGGAATAATGTCCATCCTTTTCCTTGCAGAGACCACAGTAAAAGTCAGACCCACTTCCAGTGTCAAGCCTAAGTCTGCATCAAGGAGACTGCCTTAAAAAAAAAACCCTAGTATTATGTTTTAGAATAGAGAATTTACCTAAGTAAATAATTATTTTTAAGCCCAAGATTTAGGCAGCTTTAGTATTCCACATTATGCTAATGTTTGACAATTACTAAGTGGGTATCAGCCAGCATTTTTTTTTTTTTTTTAAGTTTAATTTAAAGCAATTTGACATGGAAAGGTTATTACTTTAGTTGCCAATAAAAGCTGTACTTTTAACATAAGTGTACACCAAGCCCTAGGGTATGTGACTATTATCTTTTCTGCAATTATGTGGTGTTCTACATAAATGTTAAAAAAAAAAAAAAGAAAAACTTAGAAATATCAAAAGTACCAACTTAGCAGCAGTGTGGAAGTCGAGCAGCAGCTCCGGGGAAACGCAGCTCCTGCAGGCACAGCACAGGTTGAGGTTTCCTCCTAGAGGTGCCGCCGGGAACGGCTTCGCTGCTGCCTGCGCAGCCCAGAGAGGTGCCTTCTTTCTAAAGCTTGTTTCTTTTTTCCTTTTTCCTTTTTTTTTTTTTTTTTCTTTTCTTTTCTTCTTTTTTTTTGCTTCCCCCAGGTCTTCAATTCTAAGTGGCTTTTTTTCCACCATCCCTCTGGAGCTGCACTTTTCCCTTATTAGGGGAAATTGTGGTTTCCGCTTGCTGTAGGGTCGTGTTGCCAGAGGAGCCCTGTGTAGCAGAAATCACCACCATCTTTGAATGGAAACCAGTAAACCCATCCCCCTAACCCTTCTAAAAATTACATATGAGACCCTGAAGAGCCACGATGCTATTTCAACCCGTGAATTCTAGGGTGGAGGTGTGCAGAATAAAGGAGAGAGCTGATCCTCAGCAGCATGCAGGGCAGCTCAGCGTGTGCATGGGGCTGAGCACGTCTTCTGACACCTCCAGGATTCATTTCTTTGGCCAACATAAGGTTGCCATTCAAGCTGAAAACATCACGTGCAGTTGCCAGTCGCAGTGGAGACCTGGTACCTTGGGCTGGCTGACCAGACCCCATCCTGTCCCATGGGGTCACTGCCAGTGAGTGCAGTCTCTTCGAGCCAGGCCCATGTGGGTGCATGTCTATGCCCCCAAACAGGGGCCAAGCCCCACATCAGCCTGTGTGCAGATAAACTTACTCCACTCACCCTTCAAAGGCAGAGCCTGGGGGTAAACAGATTGAAACAAGACAGATTCTAGTCCAAACACTGAAGGTTGCTCAGTTAAGAGATCACTTTGATATAATTTTTTTTTTAAGTCTGGGTCTTTTTTTTTTTTTTTTTTCTTGTCTGAGTTTTGTTTTTAAAGTTACTTTGGAGCTTACGAAAGTCACAGCATCACCCTCGCCAACTGCAAACCTTCCAAAAACACCCGGCACCAGGGCAATGAACTTTGGCTTCCTGCATCACCCTGCCCACGCCTGTCGGAGCTAACCTGCAGCCATCACCAGGCAGCCAGAGGGAGCTCAGCCCTTTGTCTTCCTGCTAGAAAAGCAAGAACATTGGTTATAGTCACAGTGCCAACTCCAGTTAATGGTTCAAATTAGCTAAAGTTTGTTATTTTACACTTTAAGTAGGAGCTGCAACAAACTGCTCACCAGCAGTCCCAGCGATAGTATACAAGCCCCTCTAGGATCCCTTGGAAGAGCTCCTGATGAGTTCACCGATGTTTATACATTAACCTCTGGGTGAAAAGCCAGCCAGAGAGATGTGAGAACTGCTCCGAGCCCTCCAGAGCATGACACAAAATGATGCAAGTGTGGGAGCTAAGAGAGAAAATGTTGTGCGAGCCCAGAAAAATAATAAAACATTTAAATCCTTAATTGTTTTTCTTGAAGATTTATCCAAAATTGAGCTCTCCTTAAGCTTGTGAGTTTGCAGAGCATTGTCAATAAATTAGATCATGCACACAAGGCAGGGATTTCAAGCCAAAAAGCTCCAGCCGTGAGTCGCTTAATAGCAACACTCCCCAGAAAAACGACTGGAGATGAAGCACAAGATATGTATTAATTATCAATGGTCTAATAGGAAATTTAATGAAGACAAGTATCTTCTTGCACTTTATCCATGATAACTATGATAGTACGTCAGCGAAATGCATACCTTACAGTGTGGCGGTGAAATGTCAAGTCTGAGGCCATTATAGCAATTCACCACAATAATGGCTAGCCAATGTATGGACTTGTAGCACTTAATCAAAGTAATGACATTCATCCACAATTATTTATGTTATGGTAACAAAGAGCTGCCAAATGCAAAACAAATGACATGAGGACTTGCAAGTGAATTCCTTCCCGTAAATTCTGCTAAGGTTATGCTTAAAGGCCCTCAGGAATCTGTATAAATTCAGAGTGTTATCACCGGTGTTGTTATTGTGCCACATTTTACTGCCTGTAAGTCGTGAACCCAGTGGTCTAGCAGGGATGGGCTCCTCAGCCAACAGAGCTGTCATGAGACCATTGGAAATGGCCCTGATATACAATCAGGAAATGTCTGGAGAATTTTACGGAGGGAAAAGAAATGTAAAAGAAGACCTTTGCTTACTTCTGCTTATCAAGGAGAACGCAGAGCTAGTTATATCAACACTTATATGTGTATTTAAAGTACACGAGCAGCCCCCACTTACCTCAAAGGGCTTTGGATCGCAGCCATTGTAATTGCCAACCATGATTCTCTATTAAATGCAATACTTTTCTTTTAGGGGCATTTATGTGGGTGTTTGTATAAAAACACTGTCAAAAACTAAGAACACCAGTAAATATAAAATGGCAACATTCAGGTTCAAATGCAATGAACTAATTTATTCTTTTCAACAGTACATCCAACTGTTTTTCACCACTCGCAGATGTCACTGGAACAACTTGAATTAAAAAAAAAACAAAAAACAAAAAACCAACAGCCTAAGAACAATATCCTGCACAGAGCAACTAATATTAATTGCTTTAAAAATGCCCTCTATTAAGCTAAATAATAGCCAAATCTCAGTAAATACAGTAAATGCACCCTTATATGATTAAGTATAATTTAACAGAAATATGATTGCATAGTAGAAAACATGAAAATGTTGAAAATGAAGGCTTTCCCCCCCCCCCCAGAATATGAATCTCCAAAGAAACACCCAGAAGAGGAAAACACCCATTAGCCAGTCATTCATCCACAGAGACCAAAACTGTGATTGCACTTAACTCTACCACTCTAAGTGAACGCTTTTCCAAGAAGGGAGGCTGGTGGGCTCTCACCACAGGCTCTGGCCACCCTCAATGACCAGGTTGTGACCCGTCATGTAGTCTGAAGCTTCGGAGGCCAAGTAGACAACGGCAGCCTGCAGGTCGGTGACCCGTGCCAGCCTGGCAGCAGGGATGTCTGCCAACCAGCGCTGCACCAATGGCTGCAGCTCCGGGGAGTGGATGAGCGGCGTGTCCACGATGCCTCTGTGAAGAGCACACACGATGTGGGTTTAGGGATTTGTTGGCCCAAGTGGAAAGGCAGTGCAAGGTGTTAATTCAGAAGGAAAGCCGTGGGGAGTAGCATGGAGAGCCTTGGCATTGAACGAAGCTCATAATGCAAACTTCAGCAGCGCTGTTTTCCGACTGCCTTGCACTACCACTGGGCAGGCTTAGAGAATTTATTTTAAAAGGAGAACACACGCACACTGTCATCTTAGCTAACAGCAAGACCCCCTAACTTTCGGGTTACTCATCATCAACTCCAATTTACATTTTCTTATAGAAGACAACATGGCATTCAAATTGAAAGTGCCTCCAACCAGGTCTGTCGCTACACTTGGGAACTGCTGTCCTTATTCTGATTTCTCTTTTTGCAGCATGATGTTACACAGTATGTTCATATCCTGCCCAGAAGCTGAAAACAGCCCAACTTCCCACACATTAAATACAAGGAAAGCAAATGCCAGCACCTTTCTCAGCCCTGAACTCTTTCCACACAAAAAAGGAGAGACACATCACAGTGGAATCCCATCAAACAAATACCCCAGCAAAGCACGTACCTGTCTTGCCTGCTTTACATTAATGAGAGACAACACCGTTTATTAAAACTCTAAGTACATTTTCTCTGGGTGCCCTAAAAATGAGTGATGCTCCGGAAAGCACAATGCATGGTGAATGTTTGGCTGGATTTTATGACTTTAACTACGACTGATTTGTCATACTCCTCCTTAACAACATATTTGTATTTTGTGAAATGTATAATTTTTTCAGCCCCTGAACAAATATATTTACATAACTGTGTCTAACGAGAAATTACATTTAACTTCTCAGAAATGACAATAACTAAAACCTGAACTGCCAATTCCACTTCATTAGTGTGGTAGAAATGCATTCCAAATGTTAATAAAAATTCCAACATGCTGATAAATTAGCGCTTCTAAGGAGCATGTGACACCTTGGTTAACATATTCAACCTCAATTATATTTCTCTTCAGCACCCTGTTATCTGGAACCTTTGCTGGCAATCAGAGGTGCTGTTTTTCAGCGGCCAATTTTCTAGATAATGTAGCTTATCAACACTGTGGGTAAACTTGCCAATGAAATCAGGCTGCACTGAACCACACACACGCTAATTGCATCTCTTTTTTATGCATATTTACAGACTGTCACTTCAAAGAAATCAGTGGCCCATTGAGGCAGCCAGTTAGCTGGAAGAATTGCCTCTTGCAAATGAAAATTAGCAAACAAGCTAGTGATAAATATGAAATGAACAAAGTATAAAAATACCCGTTTTGTTCTGAAACTTCATCGGCATCCCAATTTATACTTCCAAGGAAATTATTTTTTGAGACATGCTGGATTCTGGGTACGAGATTTACCTTTTGTTTTAAATGAAGGCTGAAATCTTCTATTTACTCTGTTACAAAGTGGAACTAATTCAGACTTTCCTCCAAACATTTCTGCTTTCATTAATCAGGCAGGATTTAAAGATCAGCTTTATTTTTTATTGTAATTGACGATAAACACTACAGCAGTTCACAGCACTGAGCAACGCAGCTTGTTTAGGCTCTGGCGGTGTAATAATATCAAATGCATTCCAGCATAGGGCTGCAGATTTTACTTCTTTCCCCTAAGTGCAGCTCCTAGTCTCTCCCCTTGCTCACCCAAGCTCCTCAAGAGCTGGTTTTCTTCAGAGAGAACCATGCTATGAGCAGCAGAACACATCGCACTCCGTCCCCCCACGTGCCTCTCACTGCGCTCACAAAACCACCCACATAATCATTTCTGGCTTTACACTATCAGACATCAAATTTAAATCCTTATAATTCTTTTGCCTTTTTTTTTTTAGTTTTAACCCAAAGGGAATGCAGATTAGGAAATATGGCATACATTCCTCCAGTACAGTAGATTTCACTAAAAGAGGATGTTTTTCAATGTCTGGAAAAACCATCCTTGGTCTGATTTCAGCCAGGGGCTGCACCTCTTGGTTGACCTTTCCCTAAGCTCACATCGAGTAGTAAAAATTTTGATGTGTGACAAAACTTCGTTACAAATTTTTTTGTTCCGTAAATGAGAAAAAAACGTAGCACAAAACTTAAAGTTGCAAACACACATACTGATGGCACTATAAATATTAGGCATGTCATTGATACTACACATCTTCTGGGAAAGCTTTGGTGCCAAGTTGGGCAATTTAATGTTGTTGAACCCTTTTAGGCAGATTTTAGTTGGCTTCTAACCAGTTCCAGCAAAGACAACTGCCAATGCATTAATTCCCTACCTCATCTCGTATGCAGTGCTGAGCCTATCAGTACTTTCTGTTGCATGTCAATGTAATATCAAACTGCTAGTTCCTTAACATTAGACATGAGCATCAATATTTAATTATTGATACACAGGACAATTTGAGACATTAGGAGAAGAAAGAAAAAAAAAAAAGAAAACAATTGCCTAAAACATTTCCACTTCGAGAGACACATTAGGAAAAATATCACTTACCAGATACTTAACTGGAATTGTTACGTGCGTTCAATCCCCAAATGAGAGCAAGAAGAGATTCCATCTGTGTGTAACTTGATTTCTTTCAGATGAGTTATTAATTTGAATGAGTTAAGTACACTCCACTTAATCAGGAAGTGTTTAATCAAGAGATCCACTTAATTGGGACATCTCCCAAGGAATTAGATTTAAGTCCAAAGATACTTACCAGCAATGACTGCTGCTTAATGGGGATGGTAATGCCTCTTAATTGGGATGCCTTGAGATGATTCTGGGTTGCTCATTCTCCTGCCATTCCTTCCCCCAAATTTGGTGACCCCAAATTTGGGGGAGATCCCTACCTGCTTTCTCACACCTTGTTCCCACTGGGCTGAAAGCATCCTGTTCACACAGTGCCCATTGGTCAAGCATGCTGGCTGCAAAATGAGGCATCCCAACACCATGCAAGCTGAGAACTGAGGTCCCCAAAGTTCCCTGCTTCATCACACCCACCTAACTTGAAATATCTGCTGGGACCAGGAAAGAGACAAACACACACACCATGAGCAGCTCCCCATTTACTCATAGTCCCCTCTATGGCCCAAACTGCAAGTCTCTTTTGATGAAGTCCAGCACTTTTATTTTGCCTGGCACCAGCTGTGCAACAAGCTAGGAAGCAACAGAATAGACAATGGCAAAAGCACTAAGCACAGAAATGCTTGCTCTGCATGAAACAAGAGGCAAAGTCATGGAATCATAGAATGGCCTGGCTTGAGAAGGACCACAATGACCATCTAGCTCCAACCCCCTGCTACGTGCATGGTCGCCAACCACCAGACCAGGCTGCCCAGAGACAGCTTTGCCTTGAATGCCTCCAGGGATGGAGCATCCATCAGGTTCCTTGGATCCCATGTGATACAAGAAACCTCAGTCACTTTCTCCCCATGGGCTTGAGACTTGCTTGGCCAGTGAGAAAAGGATCTTCAGTTTTATAAATGCAATAAATTATGCTAAGGACTCTGCCATAACATTTTATGCATTGATAACTTTTATGCATCGGTCTGCATAAGTTTTATGCACTCGTTAAGAAATTAAGTTGATAAAAAGTGACCAGATAGGAAGAGGAAAAAAGGCCAAAAGATTTGCATGGTGAAATAATGTTCAAGGCCAGACTGGAGTGTATGGAGCTTCAGGCAGATGTGTGCTGTGAATGCCTTAAAGCATTAAAGAAATCAAGTGTGGGGAGAGCAAAGGGCTTAAGGGCACACCTACATGTTTTACTTCTCCACAGCTTATATCCAGCTCTTGTGTTTCTCATAGCTCTCAAAATATCTCAAAATGTTGCACATTACACTGGACATCCACACTCAGATAGACTTGTGCATTTGGAACTTCTTCCAATCCAGCAAAGTTCTTTGATGGCATCACAGAAACAAGCTTCATATCTCTCATACAGGCAGAAGCATAAGCAGAGTTTGCTTTTAGTGAGGGGGATCTGACCAAATCACACTAAACACTGACCCAGAGCTCCACATGTGTCTGGACAGGAGCGGCTCAACCAAAGCTTTGAAGTAAAACTCTGCCAGGATTTGGGAGCCTTTCAGTCCATGCATTGGACTGCATTGGAGAGAAAGAGCTGGAGACATTCAGTACAGCCAAAACCTTTGTCCTTTCTGTGCCCTTCCTGGCTATTACTTCGCAAAGAAAAATCCCACTTGCTATCGTAGGATTTTGAGCTAGAGTTAGAGTTAAAGACATGATGATAAAACTGCAACCTCATTTTGGCTTATAAAGTAGAAAAAGAGAAGCATGACTCTCTTTTCCCAATGCTTTGACAACTGCCTTTAAAAGCATAACTTCTTCAAATAAGAGTGTAAGTTTCCAACTTACACAAAACAATGAGTTTTGATCATTCAGTGGAGACTTTTAAAATTTATGTAAACCCCTTAAGAATAGGTAATTCCTCCTCTAAGAGCCTTCTCACCTGTGATCACAGTAAATGTGGCATACTATCCCATCTCTGTTGGTAACGATTACCTGTGCATTTGCAGGCACAGTTCCTGCCAGGTCCTGCTGGGCTTCCCTAATTCCCTTCATCTCCCCTGGCTCACAAAAGCCTGTGTAAATTCAGCAGACCTAGCTGTGAGAAAGCTACAGCAGAGCTGCTAGTACTGGCATGGGGAAAATCCTACTAGCAAGTGAGATGCTGTTTAAAGAATCCATGGATCACATCAAGCAAAGGCTGGAGTCACTGCTATAATTAGTAATAAATAATCATAAGGAAGACAGCTAGCACAAGAAAGTGGAGAGTCGAACTGACAGTAAAAACACGGGCACTTGCCATTGAGCTCCGTGGTTTTTTTTCTCTTCCACTTTGTGGATTAAAATATGTAATTTGTTTTTCCTAATTTGACATACATTATAACTTCATTATTACAATTTAACTCCTGGGTTAAAATCCTGCCCTTCTTACTTACTCTGATTGACTTCAACGGTCTATGGAATTTGACCGCTTCCAATTAGTGCTATCCACTTGGGTTTCTGCTTAGCACTATCATGCACTGTTAATTGTTTAATAAAATGACTGTGTTGGTCATGACTGCGAGAAACAGGGAGAGAAAAGATGGCAAGAAAACTTTGCTCTGTGAATAAACACCGTAAAATACAACATGCAGCTTTAAGCCTCCAAAAATAAGGAAAATGTAATTTGTAATAAATATAGATATATATTTACAAAATTACACCTGGCCTCCTGCAACTGTCAGAGCTGAACACTATCTCAATTACAGCACTGCAATGTGGCGTTTTAAGTGCCTATATATTTGTCTCAAGCAAAAAGGGGAAAGAAGTATTGTCTATTAAGTGTCAAAAGCCTTTTCTTTAACCGCGGAAGGCTTGGACAGACTAAGGAAATATTTCATCTGGAAGAGAAATGCTAAAAACTACCCTTCACATTATTGGAAAACCTATTATCAAATGCTAAAACCTCTTCTTAAATCCCTGAGTATACACAGCAACAGAGCAGGCTCGGTTATAAGTATTTAAACCTTTGTTAAGGAAAAGACAACATAAAAAGGGATGCAATCCACCTACTAATTAGAAACTTTATTTTCCAAGATACTGCTCATTTGAGCTTTTTAGAACATTTCATTCCCTTTGTACCTTCAGAACGAGACTACATTTTACTTACGGGGAAATGCAGTTGACTTTTACTCCCCTGTCAATCCACTCCGTTCCTAACGTCTGTGTTAATTTTACGACCCCGGCTTTGGAGGCATTATACGCCAACTGCTTCTGCGGGTGTGGAACTGGAAGAGATTCAGAAATAGGAAAATATTTATTCTCCTCAAATTAAGGCGTGCGGGGAAGTTCCAGTGCCGTTCCCTGCCTTGAAATGAATTCTTTGGCGTTTTCCCTGGTACCAGGCAGGGAGCAACAAGAGTTTAGCCATCACACAGCAAAACTGAACCTGTGGTCACCTCACATTTTTGCTTCAGCATCTGGGAGAAACGCAAAAAAAAATAAAAGAAATGAACTCAAAACATTCCGTGTTTTGGCAAAGCCAAAAGCAGTGTGCTAAGCATATATGCAAGTGTTTGACTTTTTCCAAGAAGGATAAATAATCACATTGATGTTTGCACGTTTACATTTTATACACATGTATATTTTATGGAAAATATGCATACAGTGCAGTACTGATATAAAACCATACCACATGATATAATACGCATGCATTACAGATTTGTATATAACATACCATATTATATATCTCCCTGGAACAAATTATTCACTTTAATTTTTAAATTACCCACAGTCTGAAGCAAACACATTATCTAATCAGTGTTTGTATGGATGTGAGCACAGGTGCGTCCCAAAAATCCTGAACACCCACCACTTTCAGAGTCTAAAGCTTCTGAAGATGTTTCAGGGATGTCACATGTCAGTCACGGAGGGAAGATGATCGGCTTGCTAATTACAATGTTCAAGCTCGTTAGTGTGGTGTGCTTGGTGGCTCTGCCCCTCTGCCAGCTCTCGTGCTCGCAGCATTCCCAGAAAGCTGCTTAAGGACAAATCCACAGTGTGTTTAAAGTGCCTTAAACCCATCAGAACCAACCTGAGTCAGTGTGGCTGTTGGGATTTCCACCTATACATTGTCTCTCTGAGGACCTGCTGGCTATCGTGAACTCCTTAAATAAATTTGGTGCAAGGCACTGATGTAATAGGACATCAAAGGGAACTTTGTGAAAGCGGGGAATCAGTCTGAATGTCAGTAACCATGCAACAAGCATTGGTGACTTGTACAGTTAGGCAGCTCTGCACCCTGAGAGCCTCTGGTGAAACTCACAATACATGGATAGAAGCACGTGGAGTCACTGGCAGTTGATATTAAGTTGGCCTAACTCATGAAGCTTTGTCAAATTTACGAAGTTGGTGAATAAGTTCCAAACCACTGCTGTCTAGGGTACCCCAACACCTTCACAACTACTTTTTGTCTAAAACAATTATTTCCAAGTGTGTTGATTTCAAGTGTGAAAAGAAGACAGTGACAGAGTTAATCAAGCTCTGAAACAGTGAAGACCCCTGATGCAAAGTGCTGAGCAAGCCAGTAAGCACCTTTGCCTTGAATCACAGAACCATGAAATCATTACAGTTGGAAAGATCATCTAGTCCAACCATCAACCCCTTCCCAGTAACCATGGCCCTCAGTGCCACATATTCCCTTTTCCTGAACACCTCCAGGGACAGTGACCTCCACCACCTCTGTGGGCAGCCTGTGCCAATGCTTCACCGAACACAGAACATCTACAAACAGAGATATCTACGAATGGAGATCGATATCTATGAATGGATTTGAAGAACATAAAAAATTGTGGCAAGAATTAGTGCTTACTTTTGCTGAGGGTATGCTGAGAACTGGGCCTTTTTAGAATTAAAACTATTTGACACTGTCGCCTTTGCCAGCATTTCTTCTGTCCTAATTTTTTGTTCTGTACCAAATGACTCCCATTCCAACCTGCAGAACCCTGCTGCTATCCATGTCCCCATCACCCCACAAACACAGTGCTCTGTGTGGGCTCTCGAGCAGGAGTGGCACCTAATTTCCTGATTAATTGCCGCACATCAGCTTCAAGTTATGTACAGCTTCGGTAGTTAACCTCACAACCTCCCCAAAGCATCTCATTGCTAAACTTTCCAAACACGTCTGTCTGTGATAAATCACTGGAAGTTTGCTCAGAGGATAAGAGTTTTGGCACTGTCTCTGCACCTCTTGCCCACACGGGTGAGAGCAGCTAGTGGTTGTCAGCAGTCAGCACTCTGATTTGGGGTGGGGGTGTTAGGATTTACAAGGCTCTCTCCATGTCAGTGCTTTTGTCTTCATAGGAATGGCTAAAGAAGGTAACCAAGATGGGATATTCTTCTCCTGAGACACACAAAAACTTTGTTGAGCATCTGTACCACTTCTTCCATTCCCCGAGCCACATTTTTGGGTAATGCTTCGTAGACCCACAAATCTTCAGCGCTCCAAACCAGAGCCTGTGAAGGAAGCCATGCCTCAAGCGGTGTCATCAGGATTTCTGAGTTCATAAGGCCTGCATGAAGGGAGAACACTCGCTCCTGTTTCGCATGGAGAAGGCAGGAGGCGAACAGATAAAAATGCTGCCAAGATCAGCTGCATTACATTTTAAACATCTGACACAATGTTTTTGCTACCTTGTTCGTAAGGCTTCTCGCCTGACCTTGAAGCAGCCGCATAATGTTAATGAGAAGCACACACAGAGAGAAGAACAGATCACTTCCCACTAAAGATATTTGCTGTAAAAATTAGAGCGGAGTTCCACCTGTACAAATGACAGAGCAGCAGCAGCCTCCTCTCTGCTGCTGAAGCATACGTCTGGAATAATTCCAGTCAAACACCAGAATCAACATGCACATATGCAAAATGTATGCAGCCTATCTTCAGTTAATTAAAATTGATTCTGAGCAAAGTATCTGGAAAATAAAAAATCACAAACAAAAACCTTTCTATCCTACAAAGAGTCTCCTCATTTTCCTCTATCTCTCAGGAAGGACTCAACCTACAAAAAAAATATATATATATCCCCTAACTATTTCTAGAAACATTTCATACTTTGCCAGTTGGCCAACATACTTAAATAACCAACCAACCAACATATTTATTTAACATTCAGCAGATGGACATGATATGAACATCGTGGTTTTCAGTTGTAGTTTTATAACTACTAGATTTTTCTCATGCCAAGATCCAAACAGGTTCAGAAGGTAAACACATCCCTTTGTCTCCTAACTTCTGGCCTATCCATGCCCACATGCATTAACTTTCAGTGCCATTTAAACAGGATGCACAATGCCCCTTTTGGGCCGCACTCAGAGCTGCACTTCATGAGGGTACCTGAAGTCGACAGCTTTGCAGTCTTTTCAAATCTACTTTTGTTTCAGGAGGTTTTGTTACACAAAGCTGGGGCAGGGGTATGGTGCCTGCGCTTGAGCATAAGTGAAACAGCTGGTAAAGACACTTGACAAAAATTAACAACAATATTATGAATGCACTTTTGAAGAAACATTTAAAGTTACTACGCAATAAACTGAACAGAATGTCACAGAAAGTCAAACTGGGCACTATAAAAATAAATGTTATTCCCAAGGAAAATAAAAAGACTGCATATTTATGTAACGTTCAGCAGATGGACATGATATTAATACAGGGGTTTTCAGTTGTACTTTTATAGCTACTAGATTTTCTTGCCTAACTTGGCAACCCAAGGCACCATTTGATTTTTGGATTTGGACAATACTGCAACAGATGTCCAGACCAATAAAATAAATTCCTAAAGGGCTATGCTTAATTTGTGTAATTGATCAATTTTTGTTACATGGGCCTCAGTTCACCAGCATGTAACTGCCTTCCAGATTAGCTCAGCAGTAGGGATTTCATTCCATATGTTACAATGGTTTATTGGTGCTTTTGACGACGCTGCTGAATCAGCAGCGTCGGTGGAGACACCTATTGGCAACGGCAATGAAATATAACCATGGTACCGTGGCAAGGAGTGGCACAATGGCTTTTGGGTGTCTTGTAAACATCAGCAGGGCACCACTTCCTGCACTGAAACACATTTTCCTGAAATTAGTGGGGAATGCACCAGCACTTCTCCCATGCCATCCCTGCATCAGGCACAGAGGTGACTCCGCCTCTTCTATAAAAAGCAGTAAGTGCTCTAAAACATAGAGGACAGATGAATGTTGAAAAATGATATCAATAAAAATTTTGTAGTACATTTCCTCTAATACAAAATGTCAGTGATTTACTCCTTCCCAATACAGGTTTAATTGATTCAAATAGCATCGGTAGTAATTAAAATATGGATTCTGAAGCACAACTGTTAGCTCTCATCACTCACCTATTAAACTTGCCATAGATGCTGTGTTAATTATCTTCCCATATCCTTGATTCAGCATAATGCGGCCTGCAGCCTGTGACAGAAATTAAAGGAAAGACCAGTGACCCTTTTTGTGATTGTGCTAATAATGACATGATAATAAATTAGTCTTCACTTTTCAGAAGAGTGTATGCTCTCACACATTTTTTTAAGCACTCAATGTAAAAACTTGGTATAAAAATGGCTGATGCAGGAAAAATTCCATTGCCATTTTGGACCCACTTTGCTTTTGGCAATTTTTTTTTTTTTCTTTTTTTTTTTAAATCACTGATGCTGGCAATGGCTCCCCAAAGCTTTCTGCTCTTCAGGAAGTGCCAAATAATCACCCCCCCCCCAGAATCAGGCCATTCTTAAGCACCTGAGCTGTGATGGCCAGTAATGACCAGCTGTTCTGAAAATATTGACCACAATCTGTAAGTTGATTAATCCCATGAAGTCAACCCCATTATGATGACAATAACAATAAAATGGTGTTAATAAATAATACCAAAAAACAATAAAATCTTGGTAAATTAAACACTAAGAACATTGCTGCCCATTTGCATATCAAACCTGTACAGCATTTCACACTCACTTGGCAGCACAAAAATAGTCCTCGTAAATTGACATTGAAAGTTTTGTCCCATTCTTCTAGTGAAGTATCTTCACTGGCAGAATTCATATTGATTCCAGCATTGTTGCATGCAATGTCGATCGTACCCCATCGAGCTACAATGGTATCAACAATCCTTTGCACATCCTCAGGTTTGCTCACATCTGCTGCAAGGGCAATGCTTTTAATCCCTGAATTGAAACAGAGGTGATGAAATCAGTATGGGAATTCAGAGAGAAAAAAGAAATCAGCCTTATGATTGTTTATTAATTCATCTCCATGCACTATATATCTGTATTTTCTACGTATGTATGTATTACATATATATTTGCCACTTTAATTTGCTGCTAACAAACCATAGCCAGTTGTGCATTTGTTACTACTATGAAATTTAAGTTGCTAACTGGAGTTGGTTTGCCTGCTGGTAGCCAACATAAAACTGAGATTGAAAGCAGAGCTCAGCGTTCCAGCAGGACGAAGCTGTGAACACTGCACCATCTTCTGTCCAAACACTCAACTGCAGCTTCCCAGCAGGGTTCAACTCCAGCACTTCCTGGGTGCTGGGGACCAGAAAGTGCAGTTCCGGAACAAGACAAAGCAATGGGTTCCTTCATTTGCTCAAATGCAAACACATACACATATATTATACAACAGATCTCCAGATGCTACAGAAATTCAACCAATTTGTCCAAAAAAGTGTTTTCTTGTTGAACTGCGGTGTGAGGTCAGCATGGAGCTTCAGAGAAAACTAACCCAGTTTTAGGTGAGAGCTAACTGGAAATACCTGCAGGCTCACAGGTGTGGTGGTCGTGGTGCCAAGCCTTACTTGCTACAAATCATATTGTCAGAGTAAGCAGCACAAACATTCTTAAGGGAAAAGATTTGCTGGATATGAAATTATGTAAAAATTGTGCTTTCCTTTCCTAGAAAAACAATCCAGATGTTGACTATTGCTCCAGTGCTGATTTGTAATTAGCTTCATTTAATTTAATACCAAATTCTGTTTTAAATATCCTTATTATTAAGCCACTGTAACAAGGTTATTGCAAACCACTGGACTGGGGAAAGATTGTGTGTTATAAGCAGTTCTCCTAGGAAGCAAGAGGAAAAGGTGATTCCTACTGCAGACAGGAAGGGCTGGCTCATTTTTGCAGTGCTGATTGTCTGTGTTTGAGACCATTTGACTGGTACCTTACCCATTTTTCATGGACATTTGAGACCATTTGATCAATACCATATGCATTCTTCAGCATTCAAGATGTATCTAAACTCCCAGATGATGCTTCAGACCTCACGAGAATGCTCAGAAACCAGTCTCCAAAGGGCTATGGGCACTGCTGTACTGTCCCCTCTTGAACATGTATGGAGTTCAGATCCCTCCTCAAAAAAAATATTTCTGAGCAGAAGAGAAGGCTCCCCCAAACAAAGTCTTAAGCTGGAGGCAAATCAATAACAGCCCTGTGATAATCTCCCCATGCAGGGAGCCACCTATAAAAAATGAACAAATAAACAGCTTCTTTCTCTCCACTGTTACCCCAAAACCTTCTGATTAAATAACTAAACAAAACAAACAGTGGAAAAATAGCTTAAATCTGTAGTATCAACCAGAAGCAAGAAACACACGGCCCTGCAGCTACACGCATGATGGTACAAAAGCACTTCTTCAGTCTTCAGTTTGTCTCTGTGAAGCTAGTGGGGGCAGTTTTGTGATGAAAGGAGCAGAAGAAGAGCCCCAGTGTGCCCAATCTGACCTTCTGCAGGGGAGCCCCTTTGCCACGGGGCTCCATCTCTTGGCTCTCAGCATAAATGGAAGTAATACCTTGCATACAGACAAGAAGATCAGAGGTGACATTGTGGGGAAGGCATTTGCATAGTTTACAGTGAAAATGCACATTTTAAAAATCCCATCAGATTAATTCTTCCCTTAAGGTAGAAGAAACGGTTCCCCCTGAAGACAGAGGAGTATGTATAGGAAGGTAACCCTTAGGAGTTTTTGGTTCTGTTTCATCATTTTTGGTTCTTCTGTCAGGATCCATTAGCAACAGTTGAAAAAGGTATTCACTCAGGATGTAAAAACAAAGACCCCTGTAGCCAAGGGAGATACACCCGAGATGTCTAACAAAGCTAAAACTGAGATCACAGAGTTTCTGATGTTTAAAATCCATCATGAAATGATGGCACCATCCCGGAAGACAGCAAAGGGCTCCTTGGTATAAGAAGCAAAGTGGATTTAAGAAAGCTAAGTAAAATGTTTTGAATAAGTATTCAGTATGGGGATGACTTGGGGCGCGCTGTTTCCGACTTTGAGAAAGAGATCCACGAAGAGTGTGGGGGGGAAAAATCACAGATCCTTTGTGTCTATTATAGCAGGAAAAATATGTATTAGTACTACAAGTATTGCTTTAATTTACACATGTGAATATTGTGAGAGTAAAACTAGCTGAACCTTTTTGTCAAAATTTATTTCCAACAGAGTACATTGCTTCTTTGAAGCCAAAGTGTTTCATGGAAACATATTGATTTCAACAAAAGTTTTCAAGGAAAAGCTTCTGAGGTCCAGGCTAGGCACTCTAGTTACGTCTGGGGAGAAAGAGATTGAAAATCTGACCTTTCCAGATCCTTTCCAAGAATGGGCATTTGGATATAATTCTCTTTCACAAAAGCATTACAAAGTTTGGGTTTTGTTCCAACAAGGAATGACAATAAATTTGAAACCTTAAAAACCCTCATGAGATGGAATAGATGTGCCCTGACCAGCTGCACTGGTCAAGTTGACAGAGAGTATCTGACCTTGAAAGATAAAGATATGTGAAGACTGAAAAGTGAGATTTTCTTTATTTTAGGCTGCAATAATATTTGCAGTGCCTCATGACCCCTCCAACTGCATTGCATAATCCCTCCACCACATCCACCTTCTTTGGGCTTGCAACCCACCAGCAAAAGAGCAGAGATAGGACAGCCATTGAAGGACGGATGATCAAACTCCTACTGAAATTGCCCTGGAGAAAAGTTAAGTTCATTTTCAAATGGACCACTGGCATCCAAAGTCTCACGGCTCTATCAACTATCTCATTTATTTCTGAACAGCTCTGCTTGATATGCAGGATCTCACTGTAAAAAAATATCCAAAAGGCAAGTTAACTTGCAGGGCACAGCTATTGTGTGCCAAGACCATATGGCTTCAGAGCATAAGAAAATGAAAAGCTTCAGGGAAAGAGGGACTGGATTATTTAAGAATTTGTAATAGGAACTGGAGACACTCTAGTCTGTGTCATTGTTAGGGATCAGACCAGCAATCAAAGCTTTAACCATTGCACCAATCCTCATTGTGAAGTGTCCTATCCTTACTAAAGCTGGCATCATACAGTCTGGGATCTGTTGTATCAAGCATTCTCTGCAGAGGCTCAGGATGGTGTCAAAACCAGAAACGAACCATCCCTTGCCCCTTCCCTAGGAAAAAGCTGATAGATGCAGATTGATGAGTAATAGAAATGTATCTGCAAGGGCTTGTTTTGCTGGATAATACAGTTTCCAGTTGCACAAACACAGTTTTCGTGAATATTTTCCATTTGGCAAAAAAAGCTTTACAGTTCTTAAGACAGAGTGGAAACTCCAGATTTTAATGTGCAGATCATCCACTGGTGATCAAACCCTTTCTGAAACCAGAGTGGACACAAATTCTGTTGTCTGTGTCCAACTGGGACTGTGAAAATTTCCTCGGCAACGTTCCATCTTCAGAGGCGATGAAGTAGTGAACTTTGAAGAAAGCTTGCTTGTAATCCCACAAATGGAATTATAAAATGAGTAACACTTCCTTTCTTTTCTCATTAAAATTATATTTCCAGTTTTCTTTTTCCCCTTTGCAGGTTAGCATGACTCTAGGGGGAAATTCAATTTTATGTTACATTTTGTGTTTTTACTGCTAAAATAGAAGTGCCCTGTAGAGGATTTTACCTCTTATTTTGGACTTTAGTTATTATGTCTACTAATATTCTGTTCCTTGTCTGACCTCATATTCATGTTTGAAAGAACTATAGACGGAAGTTTTCAACAGTGACTGCCCCAGTTTGAGGGCAGTGTCATGCTTACCTTTGAGGTTGAGCTCACACACCACTGCTTCTGCCTTTGCGAGGACCAGGTCCACCACAGCCACTTTAGCACCAGCTTCTCCCAGCGCGTGAGCAAAGGCCCTCCCGATTCCCTGCCCACCGCCAGTGACGTAAGCCACCTTGTCATCCAAACGCAGCCGGTCAAGGATGCGGTTCTTGTTATAACCCCAGAAAACATCATCCCTTATCACTTCTTTCTAAAATGAAGACAGATACATATAACACAATCCGGGGCAAAGCTCAGTACCAGAACTGCTGCTATGGGCTTTGTCTGTGAGGACGATGTGAGAATGTGTACAGGGATCCGTGTCTTCTTGACCCATTAGTTAATGCAAAGATGTGATTAATTCAAGCCAAAATAAATAAATAAATAAATAAAATCCTTACCCCTACTGATATTATTCTCAACGGGAGCACCAAGGTGCAAGGTGAGGTAGCAGAAGGGCTATGTTTGGGAAGATGCACTGACCACTCCAAATACATGAGAGTAGGGCACAGTCCTTCCTGGCCCAGCTTCCCATGGGAGATTATAGAATCATAGAACAGCTTGGTTTGGAAGAAACCTTAAGGATCATCCACTTCCAACTCTCCTGCCACAGGCAAGGCCACCAACCTCAAGGTCTGGTAATGGACCAGGATGCCCAGGACCCCATCCAACCTGGTCTAGAACACCTTCAGGGATGGAGCAACCACAGCTTCTCTGGGCAGCCTGTTCCAGCACCTCACTACCTCTGCTGTGAAGAACAAGGACATGAGCAGGTATGACCTCTCAGAAAAGAACTGATTAAGTCTTCCATCTATTTCACTCCCTGGACCAAGTCCTGCCCTCCAGTTCAGCTGCCTCCAGGAAGAAGGAGGCTGAGAACCTGTTTCCAAAAGCAGGATTTGGCTCAAATGCTGTGCACTCAAAATATCTTCACAGGGCTGGTGCGCAAATAGAGATATCAGCCAATAACTTTAACCAAGCTGTCATCTGATCAGCTGCCATACATCATTTTCCCCTGGCTGGAATCACAATGGAAAATACAAGATGTTTAAAATATTGGTTTTGAAATGCCAGGAATTACTAGTGGATATAGCTTTGGGAGCAGTCAGAAACCCCCAAATAATCAAGACATTTGGGTCTGGATTTACAGAATTGGGCAATTACAATTCCAGATGGGAATTTCATTATAGCTGGATGATAACCATTACATAAAATGGAGTTCCTACAAAAAAAAAAAAAAAAGAAAAATCACCATCTTTTCCATAGGCCAAACTAAATCTGTATGGCACTAACAGCACAGCAGAGCATAAGTCTGGGCCCTCAACAGCAAATCCCTGCTCTTATCACTGTTCTCAGCAAAGTCAAAACTTTCCCAGAAATGTTCACAGAAGAGAAAATACACACCTTTGATTCAATCACTGCATCTGGTGGTACAGGGATCCTTCGAATGACGCTCAGCCCGCTTTGCACAGGTAAAATTATCTGCAGACATAATGCATAAACAGTTAAGGAAAGTCCTTCCTTCGTTAGGCCAGAGCAGTTTTTCTCCTACTGTTATTCTTTAGCTAAAATTCCTTCCAACCCAAATATGTCAGGCATCTATATTTGCTCACATTCTTCTCCCAAACTCCCAACTTCCACAAATGCCAGGAAAAAAAAAAAAAAAAGCAATTTTGCCTCTCCATTTCCTAAATGAGTGTCAGCTGCTGAGATCTCTGGGTTTCCACTGCTTGGCTAATGCTGTTATGAAGACATTCCAGAATCATTCTCAGAACTTAGCAAACCATAATAGCTTCACTTCAATGAACACTTCAGTGTTCATCACTATTCACAGGAACCCATAGGTGAATTTCAGTGGGTTTTGACAACTGCCTCTGATACTGTTATAACACTTCAGTGGAAGAGGCTCTCAGTGCTGGAGGTTCAACACCGGGATCAAACTATTACAAAATTAAATACAGAAACAACATGCTGTTTACACTCATTAAATGGCTAATGGTAATATTCAGGGCATGGAAATCCGCTGTGAGTCTTTCCCTTTTCTACAAAGAAAAGTCATTGCTCTTGGTGTTTGATGGTTGAGTTGATGACAGAATAACGGGGTATGACAGGAGGCACCTCTAGAGGCTCTCTGTCCTGCAGATAGACAAAGATGAGCTTATGGGGCACAAAGCCCAAATCCTGTATTATGGCAACTGAGAGGAGGCTCTTAGAAGAGTGGGTACATGAGTGTGAGCCTTGTATGCTGGTGCCACTGTGTTGGGGTAGCATTGGTAACAAGTGCATTGAAAGCCTCACTGACTCCTGTTGTGCTGGAAATGCCTTGTAGCCTCCAGAGGCCTTAAGCAAGTGGTGGTTCCTTGGTTATGTTTAGAGCTGATTATTCACCTCCAAGTGCTCAAATTTAACTTGCCTTTAACACTGGAGATGATGTAGACAGAGAATAGGGACTTTTGCTGAATATAGAAACTCAGGAAAGGTAAACTATAATAAAACTTGGGTTCATTTTAGGTTCCTTGAAAAATGACACTGACGAAAGAAGGATTCTGATGAGTACTTTGCAAAATCCATGGATACAGTACCACAGGCAGCCTAACCAATTGCATTGCACCAACCTGCTCAACACGAGGATCTGAATTAATCACTGCATTTAATTTTCTGACAGCTAGTACATTTTCCTCAGATATGTTCTCCAGGTAGACTTGTCCTTTCATGAGTGTATTCTCTACACAGATCACTCCATCCATTCTCAGCAAGTGGTTATCCATGACAAAGCTGTAGTAGTTAACAGCGTTCCTTTGATCAGCATCAATAAAGACTATATCAAAGTGCTCATCCTCAGCATGTAATGCCTGGAAAAAAAATGAGGATGGAGAAAACACTAATTATTTACCTGCTGTCTGAATACCAGTTTCAACTTACCATTTAAATGTCCTTTATATAAAAAACTCAAATATGAAGAACTCTGGACGTCTTTACTTTTTATATGCATACTTTTTTTTTTTTTTGGCTGAAATTACTTCTGGAGATCTTGGGAGTTTCCCATGCTTCACAAAGAATTCTTCAGCAGCCCCGGTGCCCAGATCTCTGAACCTCTCACAGACAATCAGGATATAACAGATGATTGCTCATCCCAGCTTGTCTTGTGGAGAATCGCAGCAGAAACACCTGCATGTTGAGTCAAAGGGGACTGAGCCATCAGGGTAAGGGAAAAGACTCACATCAAACCCTGTGGCAGCTGAGCTGCTGCAATAAGCTCTCTCTTCTCCAAAGAGTAACTATTCACAAACCAAAGAGTGGCAATTGTAACAGTCTTTGGGAAAAAGACATCAGGCTGATCCTGGGAATTGCAAACTAGCCAGTCCCACTTCAATAACAGGCAAATGGTTGAAATCCCAATTAATAATAGAATTACAAAGCACATAAAAGAACAGGTCATGGTAGAGATAAAGCAGCATAGCTCCTGTGAAGGAAAATGATGTTTCTTTAATGTAAAAAAATGCTTTGGGTGGCTCATCAACAGAGGATAAAAGAGAACTGGCTTCTATCATCTAATTGGATTTTCAGAAATGTGGCACACCTTCCCTCCAAGCAGGCTGCTGATGATAATGTATAAAAGTGTTGATGGATGACCAGATGGGAGCCTTTACAGCCTTCTCCTGTGGCTGTTAATGCACTCGCTGCCCAAGAGGCTGCTATGGAATATTTCAGATTCCATCTGGGACTATTTAACTGCATCTGTGTGCGTTGCAATGAAACAACGGCTCATCCACCTATCTCAGGCAAGCATAAATGCTTTCAAGTCTTGGCATTTCAAGTGAAAAGAGAAACAATTATGTTTTCCAGAACTCACTGTTTCTACCACAACTTTTAACAGCAGTTCTTGAGTCCAGATTTCCCTTTTGTGTTTGGAGACATTGTGTACAATGAGTGATGAGCGATCCCCTGAGGTGTACGAGAGAAAGCATCAAGAACAAATGGCAATGGAATATTTGAAAAACTAATTTGTTTTCAGGAGTGAGGTTGATAGTTCCAAACAGAGATTTCAGGAACCTTTCAGAAACAGAATGCACACTGTTCTGATGAGAAAATAGCATGGAGTGGATCACTGAAGCTCTGAATTATTCTATTTTGCAAACTGGTGTCATTATGAGCTTGTTAGTGGGTAAGAAATGAAGCTCGTTTCCCTCTTGGGCGATACTGGTGGAAAGCAGCAGAGACATTTTTGATGTGGGGAAGAACATCTTGTATCAAACCACAACTCAGCCAGTCTGCTCAATGTCACTGCTTCAGGAGGGGTCAGAGGATGGAAGCTGGGAGGAGGAAAGAAAGATTAGAGGTCTCATTCTCCAGAGAGAAGAGCCAAAGCAAATTCAAGCGATTACCATGACTTATCACTACTTTCTGACTTGTAACCTTCCTGGGTGGAGGAGGTGGGGGGCAGGTTTTCAGAAGCAGATGTGGCAATCTCTAAACATATGCTACTACTGCTCTGTGCTATGGCTCCCTAATGAAAAAGAATCTCACTTTTATGCAATGGCTTCATTAGGTCCATATGGAGTTGTGTAGCTCCTAGGATATTTGTTGGACATCTTGTTTCAACCCTCTTTCTGTTCTGCCTACCTGCTCACAGCTTATCCCTTTCTTATCTACCTTCTCATGCAGCCAAACCATCCTTCAGCATCACAGCTCTCAGCCCAGGAGGACCCCTGTGCTCAGTGTGCATCTAGCACAAGCCTGTGTTATCCTTGCACTGCTGGAAGGTGTTTCACTTCAGCCGCTTTGAGTCCTGAAGAAACAGCCTCAAATTTCACTTGTCACCTTCCATTTCCTCCAAATCAAGCCCTCTGCAGTCTCCTACTCTAATTACATTCTTTGTGTGTTGCAGAGCTTTGCAAGACACTAATATGTGTTGTGACAACTTGGGGGTGGATTTTAGATTTCAAGGTTTAGGCAAATAGGTCCATTTTGTATAGTCCATGTTACACCACACAGCTTCCACGTGCAGCCCCAAGTATCCTGTTTCATATACCCCAAACATGTATGGAAAAGTCAGATGTCTAAGGCAGCTGAAGCAGAACTAGACATTTACATATGAATGCCTGAAACACTCCCTTCGAGTTCACACTGGGACCTCCCAGCAGGTCCAAGTGCAGAGCTTCAAGCTTGAAGCAGCAATGCAGTGATGGAGAGAGCAGGAGAGCTCACTGCTACTCCTCTCAAAATGGGATTGACCATCTTTTTCTTCTCTGTGGGACTGAGCAGATCGTGCCTGCTCCTGCCTGGGACCTCACAGCACGTCAGAGGTCCCTTTGTCCTTTGCTAAGGGAGAGGCAGAGCCCAAACATCTCCAACTGTGAGGAAAACTGAGATCCAGAAGGAAATAATCTGCCTGCAAAATATCCTGCTGAAACTAATTTCCTGAATGTTTACAGTGCAATCCTTGCTCCTTGCTACAGAGGCATCATAGATGGTAACAGATGGCAACAAGAAATGTCTTAATTCAGAGCAAAGTTGGCTAAAATTAATGCTTTTACTTACAGTGAATCATTAACTTCCTTTTGGATTGGAAAAGAAGGGAAAAAAAAAAGAACTTGTAGCACTGCATTGCACAGAAGAGACGCAGCAAAAGCCAGCACAAGAAGGGCACAGCAACACTGTTGACAGATACAGCAAAAGATCAGGGAGAGGACATCCTGAATAAAAACATGAATGAATCTTCTGGCAGACTGAAAGAAAACCTGATTGCAGCTCAGATCAGAGACAACGTGCTCTCATAAGGCACATACAAACTCAATCAGACACAAACGACTGTCCAGTTCCTTTGAAATGGATCACAGTCAGCATATTTGTAATAAAGATGTACTCAAAACTTATTACCTTCCCTACGCTGTGTTCTTGACCTAAATGCAATAGCAATCCATCCTTAGAGTACACAGAATACATGAAGAAGTACAGCTTCCTTTTAAAACACCATTAGAATATTTTACTGTATGTGGACATACACTCTTGTTACTCCTAAATGCTATTCTATTGAGTACAGTTTATATTCACCGGCAAAGCTAAATCTCTGGGGAAGCCAGAGAGGGAATGCAATTTCTAGTAATAACAGCTCACAACAGTGAATACTATCCACTTATCCCCACAATTTCCAGCTATTTTGGACTCCTTTCTGAATTAACCTTTCATATCAAAAGGAGCAATTCTGCACACTAGAGACTCCGACACAATTTCATGCATAATTTATTCACTCAGTTCAACATTAAACGCAGAGTCCTTGACTTTGTCAAGGTGGATTCTGTTGGCAGACTTCACAAGCAGCAAAACAGGAGAAATGAGATCTGCAGCTCAACCTCTTCACCTATTCTGTCTGGTAAAAGGAGGGAAGAAAGGAAAAAAGAAACCCCCGGCATGCTTACACAATGCCTTGCAATCAGCAGAATCTGCTGCAAACACAGTGCTATTTTCTGTGTTGTGCCTTCGATTTTAAAGTGGAAGGATCGAAATCATGGATGGGAATAATTTGCTGGTAGTTTGCATTCCCCACAGGGTTTAATCCTGCTTTCACTGTTCCACAAAACGTCTACTGGGAATTAAAGGGAGCTGTTTGGGAGGGATCAGACCCTTTGCTAACAGCTGATGCAAAGCAAGGCATGTTGCTCAGGCACAGCACTTCAGATTTAAGCAGCTTGTTGGGAAAAGATTTTAAACACTCTGGTTCAGCACATGCCGGCCCTACTACCTGCAGTTGGGATCAAATCTCTTTAATCTCTCCATGACTTTTGGCAGCATTACCCATTTCTGCTTTATTTCTGCTTTCTCTCCCATCTAAGCTGGTCTTCTCTAGGGGAAAAGCAGAGCACTACTCACAGCCTGAGCCTCTTCCATGTGTTGCCACAATGGTGGCCCTGCACCAGACAGAACCCAATGACCCCAGCGCATAAAGACCCCAGAGAGGCCACCAAATGTGTCCCTTCATCATTTACAGTCATTGCAACCAGAGCCCTAGAGGCCAAGTAATGCAATTCTGATTATCGTGGTGCCAATGATAAAATATCTGTCAGATTAAGCAACACAAGTTCAGAGGCCAGCGTGGAAATCCTTCCAGAGAGAAACATCCCAGTGCAGAGATCTCACCAGCCAAACATGAGCATCTCAAAGAGATGTTGGAAGCCCCAAGAACCTGTAGAACTGGGGTCAGGACGTGCCTGCACTTTGCAATCAGAGGCTATAAAATCAATTGCAACATCGTGTGTTAAGGATTTAATTTTCATGTCTTTGCTCCCTTCTTTAATCCCTACACAGCATGTACTCTGCCTGCCTCTAGATATTTCAATTCAGTCACAGTAAGTCAGTTGCACAGAATGGGCACTAGAGAGCAACAGCAATTCAATTAATTTCACACTCACTGCAGGGAGCTGGGATTTTAAATGCTGCACATTGCAGGTGATCTGTAACATTTCATTTATTCACATACTTGGCAAAGCTCTTTGTTTCTTTCTTATCAAACTTGGAGGTCATGAAAGCCAGAGTCTAGGGAGCTCCTGGCCACCTCATTTTGGAAAAAAAAAAAAAAATTAAGATACTTGTTAATGGAAATAAAGTTACAATCAGGCTCACAATGACACGTCCAGATTGAAGATGGAATCATCTCAAATTGGTTTGCAACGATGATAGAAATGCCTTGTATTTAATGAACCTGGTATTGGCTTCTCATGTTGGTACTCTGGACCTGCAGCAATGCCATAGAGATCCATAAAATAGAATTAAATGTGAAACTCCTCCAGCTTGATCCACAAGATTCTCTTGTTCTTGGGACAAAGTCACTACTCAGAATGAAACACATTTATCTAATGTGTCTGTACATCTTAAGCTTATTACGTTGCTCTGGAAGTGAAAAACCCAGGGTCCAACTCCTCGTGGTGTTATCACTGGGAGGAAAACAATGATGGGCTGTGGGTGATTTACAGACATCTTCAGGACTTTCCCATTGTTGGGAGCACTGGGGCACCTCCAGCAGTGCACAGTTATGTTTGGAATTAGAGACCCCAATCCAATGAGCAGCCAAGTCAAATAAAACTCTGCCACCATACCTAAATTTAAAGGATTCCTGTGGTCAAAAATCTGTAGTATTTTGGTTAAGAAGGAAAACAAGCTATTTCGTGTGACAGAGCCTCACCATGCATGATCATGAATAAGAAATAACTCCAGTGCAAGGTTGTGTTCACTTATTAGCGAGTGAATTAGGGTCACCACTCAGAAACCTGTGGGCAGGAAATAGTACAAGCTGACCCTGCCCAAACCTCCTTAATCTGCTCTGAACAAGAGCTCCCAAATTCCCCTTCCAACAGACTTTACCTCCAACGTGTCTGCTATCGGTCCCACTCGCATGCTTATCTTTTCACCATCTGAAGAATAATCAAATGCTTCTTGGCTGTTCACTCCGAGATACGGCACTTCTGCACATGCAAAGATTTTGCCATCATCTGGCAATTCTTCTGCGATAGCAAGGATACTGTAACCTTTAAGCTTGCCAATTAATAAAATCTTCCTGGCTCTGATCAGATGAATAAACATCCTAAAAATGTGGCCTGCGGAAAGACAAAAGTGAAAATATAAAAATAAAGCTCTAAGAAAGACAGTTCTTTGTTCACGATGAAAATTAGACGTACCTTTTAAGTCATCATTAAAATAAAATCACATCTTAAAACACTTTCAGATAAGGGTTTAACAACAGAATCGTTCCAAATTTTATCTAAAATGCAGCAAGAAGACAACAGAATAGAGGGACTAGTTTGAAATGTAGAACCTTTATCATCAATGCTGCTATTGTTCAAGTGCTTGTTAAATAGTGCTTGAAATATTGCATATTTTAACATTCCCCCCATATGAAAATGGCTTTAAGATGTCTCCATATTCTTTCTGGAACCCGGTTAAAAAAAATCACTACATTACCTTGCGTTTGCTCTTAGAGTCATTATCCCTAGACAGCACCATCATTTAAGAAATTTATCATCAGTGGTGTCCTTCGAACAATGTATTAGTGTAATACATTATAAGAGTACTTCACTGTGATGATGTATTACTCAAAGGATGGGAACATCTGGGAAGAATGAATCTAGGAATAGATTTAGTGTAATAAGCTTTATATGAGAATCGAAGCCTGAGTACTGCTATTTGAAAAGGTGAAGTGCTTGACCACAGACCACCTTCAACACTAAAGCACATAACACCCTAGCAGGCACCACCAAAACAAAACCAAGGCTTTCCCCCTCCCTGCAGTGAGGACAACCATCTCCTTTCTGCTCTGTAAGGGATGGGCATCATGAAGCATGATGAAGTAGAGAAGACAGAGAGCACTCATGAGCGCATGTGTGAGCATATATGAATGAGCACAAAGGTGTGGGGTGGGGGAGGGACAAAATGCATACAACAGGAAGGTTGGCACCGGCAGGAAAATCCCCGTTCTCTTTTTAAGAATTTTTTCACATTTTCTGAACTTTTCCATGGCATTCATCCTATCCCCACTCAAAACAGACTAGAATATGAGGAACTTTGTTGACACTGACTGGGAGCCATTTTATCATTTTGTTTGATCAACTTGCCATTCAAACAGCCTGAAGTGTCCTCTTGGAGTGGCTTAACTCTGGCTTTGGTTCCTCCAGCATCCCTTGAGCCATGGGCAGGTGACACTTTTCTGGAAAAAGAAATTTCAGTGTTATGGTGGCAACCAAAATCTGAATATCTCACAGAGTATAAGAGAAACAAAGAGGGAACTCCTGAAGAAAAAGTACCTCTGCTTAGGAGCATGTAAAAGCAGCGCAGAGACATCACAAATATCACTGAATTAGACTTCTAGGGGAGCCTGGCTCTGTAATAAGCAAGAGCAGATTGGCCATGACTCCTGGCCTTTCTGTGTTGGGTTGGGAAGAGGGGGCTGTGTGTCCAAGGAAGAACACACTCCAAGAGGAGCACTGCGTTCAAATCCAAATCTTTCCCATTGGTACCAAGCAAATGCCTACTGTCTGTTTCAGAGTAAACTGCTCCAGTTTCCAAGGCCAGGTTTTGTTTGGTGTGTTTATTTTCCAGCTGAAAAAAAGATTTCTTCTCAGAATGGGGCAAGAGGAGTAGAACCCTAAATTTTCTGCAAGAGAAAAGAAAAATCTTTTCTTCCCAAACTGCAAAGAGAACAGGGCACCTCCAGACACTATTTCACAGAACCCATGTCTGAGAGAAGTCTGGATAAAGTGAGATACTGCCTATTGCAGTGGGAAATAAAAAGATGACTGGAAAAAGTCCATAGCCTGAAGACAGATTAGATTACCGTATCTGAAGAAAGCAACCACCAGAAATGGCTGGTGATACTTCTGCAGGCCAGAATTTAGAGTCATTTGAGCTTTTTTATCCCTCCCTCTTCTCCTCCCACCACTCACCAGTAAAATGAGAAAGAATTCATAACCCGTGTCAGCCACACTCAGATAATCCAAGTCTTAAAGAGTAGAACATTTCATATAACCTCTTTTCTGCCCCTCACAAATGCTTTAACAACTTTAATAAGATAATGTATAGCTATTATCATACAGCAAGCGTAAGTCAAACAACTATCAGCTATTATTTCAGCAACAGAACGAACACTCAGTGTTCCCATAATCCACAGCCTGGAACAGTTTACACATTGTCAATTTAAGACAGAACTGGCTTTTTCCACATATCAGAATGTACACTGATAAATGGGAATTGTTCAGCAGACCCCACATGGCTGGGTAATATACTGAAAAAAAGGAGAAAAAAGAATAATGAGGGTTTCAGTTGGACTTCTGAATTAATGATACCTTAAATTAGTTTAATTAATTAGTTTAGTTAGCAGAGTTATTTAGTTAGCAGATTAATTAGTGTTTGTTGAGCGCTGGAGATAAAAGCTGCATTTAAAGGCTGTTATTATAGGGGCAGTCAGAGATTGTGATGCCGTTTTTCGTCATATTTTATTTATCCCAGCACTGGTTCAATCCAGGGTTTCCTTGGGTTTTTCAGCCAGCCCTTTCTGGAAGCTGGCTTGCTTATTTTTCCAAGAATCTGGTGCAATACTTTGCCATAGTTAGCAGCAATCAGGTAAAACAGCTCACACAACTTACAGCTAGACTTCTTGTTCTCACCTCCTCTCCTCAAGGCCATGGGTGCACTCAGACACACGTGTCAGTGCAAGTGTCACGATATATTTGAACACAGTCAACTCTCATTCTCCTTCTCTCCTCTGCTCTCCACATTTATGGCACATTTTGAACAGAGAATCTAGAAACATATTCATACAGTTGGAGAAGAAAAGCACAAAGTTATAAAAGAGGATCCATACCTCTTTGAAGTTGCCATTGCAACCAAATAAGGGTCCAGTCCAAGGGCAACAAGAAGAGCTTTCTGTAAGTAATTCTTGAGTTGTTCAGGTACACGAGGATCATTGAGGGCTATTTCTTGGGCTTTAAGAAGGTTCTCTGCAATGCTTCCCATTGGGGTTTCTGAAATGGAAAAAGAAAGAACAGTGATAACTGTTCAAATCAGCAGACATTTAAACCAGAAGTCATACATAGTACAGGTTTTTGAACGAATATGGAAACAGCCATGGAAAGTTTCTCAACCTGAAAAGAATACACACTTCTAATTCACTTCTCTTTGGCTCCCGGTGAGCTGTGACAACACAGAGTGAGATCTGAAAAATTCCCCATTCCTCAAGTGTCAGAGCACGTGTGGGGTTATGAAAGCACCGGTGAGAGCAGCTCTGAGGCACATGGCAAACAAGCTGTATGCACACCCAGGGTGGAGAAATTGCCCCTGGCAGGATTTTATTCTCTGTGGCAGAAAAGCTGCTGAAAACAAAGTGATGCAGGCCAGAGCCACCATCAAGGACATGTTTCCTCAGGAGGACTGGCCCAAACCAGCCCAGCAGCTGTGGGGCCATCCACGACACATACCTCCGATTTCTCCCTTCTCCATTTCTTTTCTATCTACCCAAAATGCCATCCTGGATGCACTCATCAAACATTGGGTCTCACTGGTGTCCTACCTACTGTCATTGCCTTGCTGACGATCTGGTGTTAACCTCTAGCCAAATGGGAGCAGGACAGAGTAACGTCATTTTATTTTTTTAATATCTTCTCTGTCTGAGGGGTTCAGGGGAAAAATCTGAGGTGGATACAGGAGCAACTCCACGTTCTCAACCAGAGATATGGGGATAGTCAGGTCTTCTCATTAAGGATGGAGCAACATTGAGCATCTCCTACTTCACATCTTTGGAAATGGGGAAAGGTCTAAACCTCCCCAAAGGGCTGCTTCTCAGAGCAAGGCATCTCAGCTTTCTGTAGATATTAAGAGAACAACACCGTTTTTTGGGACAACTTCAACTTATTTTCATTACCCAAGTTACAAACAATAGGAATGCGGACCAGGAAAATAAATAACACATGTTCATTTTACACGGGAATTGCCCTAATGGAGAAGACTTGGAGGTCACCTATACAGCACCATACTCCTGGCAGCAGCCCAACCTTACACAGAAGAAAAGCAGATTTTGAGTAGATAGAGCAGCCCCTGACTTACAGCTCATGTTGGTGTCTCACCATCAGGGGCAGCTCGCTCCTCTTTCAGCAATATCTAAATTAATGGTCAGTACAGAAGTAACGGCTGCTTTCCCAGACCTTGCTAGTTTGTTGACTTCAGCAAACCCCCCACAGCCCAGCTACGTGCTCTGTGACAACGCAATGTCTTTCTGCAACATTTTTACCACCTCCAGGCTCCTGCCACATGTCTGCAAGATGCTGGGCGTCAGGAGCTGCCTTCTCCATCTGCCCTGCCAAGCACTCCGAGGCTTCCTGCTAATTTAGCGGAAAAAACACGTGTTTATAATCCATGTCGGATTTCAGCAATCAACATGTTTCACTCCTGGATGAGTAACTGACAAGGGTGCACTGTCACTCAGGGAGGGGGAAAAGATTTAGCTCCAGCTGTTTTGTAACCTGTGTTATAACACCAACTGCAAGCATCACAAAGTGCTCCCAGACAGCAGCAACATGCAGTACATGCCAAAATCAACTCCACACCTCCACGCCAAGGATTATACAATCTTTTCAAGAAGTGCTGCCTTTTTTTTTTATTAATTTTTTTTTTTTTTTTTTTTTTTCAGCCCTGGTGATGCTTAGGGCCAACAGCAGAGGTCAGAATTGCCTTCGTTTATACAAGGGCCTGACAAGCTGGAGCAGAGCCTGAGACTGGCTGCTCTCAGGGTTCTGAGCAATAAGGTGAAGGAAAATTTTTGCAACTGCTTTTTTCCTGCCTAACTCCAGGGAAAGTCCTTCTGTTTTAGTGCACATCTCTGCAGCTGGACCATCATAAGCACTAAATTATATCACCTGGTTTCTTACCCGTGGTTCTATCTATGCACAGACATCTTCCCAACCTAATTGTGCATCATCTTCTTCCTGAATATAGGGAATGAAATCTACTCTACAGGTGAAACCAAACCTTTCCAGGATGGGTTTAGATGGTGTTTACTTGGATGGGGGGAGCTCAACCAGGAAAGAGGAGGATGTTGTACTCTTTGCAGGGAGTTGCCCAGTAAAAAGCATGGAGTGGTGACAAACATGCAAAAAACGAGTCTGAATTTGATAAAAGCTAAGCAAAGATGCTGCATTCAGAGATATGAGACTGAGTATTTCCCATCTGGGGCTATCCTTCCAGTCTTCACATTGATTGTGCAGCCCCAGTGTCGATTGGGAAGAGTGCTCCTGGCCATGCAGAGCACTGAAGCACCCCAGGTGCCTTTGGTAGGAGCTGCCTGGCACCAAACACCTGCAAATCTGATAAAACCTTGGGCATGGAAGCCTCATATTATCTTCCCAAGCAATTGGGAGTATGCCCAGCGTACTCAGTTACCAGAGCTAGCACAGAGGCTAAGGTGGCAGAAAACATACTGGTATAAAACAAGCATCTCAAGCATCAAAATTACAGCCAGATCTCCTCTTGCCACTGCAATGTCTACTCTCCAATTCACCATTCTCCCATTTCCTCATTCCTATTTCCCAGTTCAGATCTTTTCCTCCCACTTCAGATCCACACAGACCTTCCTCCACTGTTCAGCTCCAAACACTTCTCCCCACACATACCTTTCTCTCTTCCTTTCTGCCAAGCCACAGAGCCTGGGAGGCAGGTATGACACATCCCATGGTGTCCCCTCCTGGCATATCTCCTCTCCTGGAGGAACCCACCCAGTCTCCTGAGCTCTTCTTCTCACTCAAGGCACCAGAACCCTTTTGTACACCCAGTCCAACTGTCACCCTGGCTGTCTTATGGCACTCATGCCAGTTTTGCTTGTTAGGTAAAAATCTCTCCCTGCTCTCTGCCGGAGAAATCAGAAAGCGCCCATGGACCATCTTAGTCACCGGTTTGCAAACACAAGCTGCTAAGGGCTAAAGCATGCATGGAGGGCTGCAAGCTCCAAGCAGGAAGGTTACCTGCAGGACACTGCATGTTGCTTCTTGTCCTTCGATGTGGCAGTGTTGAGGTTCACCAGGTGAGCTCTTGAGCTTCTTGTTGCAATGCTGCACTGTGCCACGTTGGGCTGCTCCCGGACAGCTGTGAGATCAAACGGCGTCTGACGCTGGAGAAGAGGGGAAAAAAAAGCAACTTTCAGTGCCTGTGCTTTATGTAACAGCAGTGTTCACATCCGGACCTGGAGAAGCTGCTGGTTCTCAAGGAGATAATCAGCAATTTCATAATATAGCATAGACATGTCCCAGCTAAGCCATCAGGTGTGGAGCTGCAAATGCCCCAGGACTTTGAATCCCTGCTTATTTACAAGTGGCCTGTAGAGGAGGTTACCCCACACAGCAACCTGTGCATCTCCTGCCTGGGAGAAACACAACTCACATCCAAGTTTGTCCTATGGGCCACAGCTGCTACAGCTGGGCTGGCACAAGGAGGTGGCGGCCTTTGGCCACAACAAACAGATGAACGTTGGAAAATATGTTTGTCACCTTCTGAAATGAAATTCAAGTCATTTAGATGCTGCCTAAATAGATTAAAAAAATATAAACGGAAAATAAGTGAATGCTCAGGACAAAAGAGTAGAAGAAAAGCAAATAAAAGAAGTCCCAACACTCAGTAGATTGCTATTAATCAAAACAAATAAACAAGATGTAGAGGGCAGATCTCCTTGCATGCCTAAGATTATTCCAGTTTATAATTCAGTAAACAACAAACTGCATTAAACCTGCAGCCCCTGTAGAAAGAGATGCAAATTGTGTTTGTATTGGGAGTTAAAATTTCAGATGAGTATTTGATAAACAGGCTAAGAGCTTTAACATGCCACCTATTCCTCCCTCCTCTAGCTTTGGAGGTGACTTTGAGCATGTTGCTTCTCTTCTGGTGGACTCTGTTCTCCTATTCCATAAAATGGGGATAACATCTTATCCCTTCTGTGAAGTGCTTTGCCATCTGCAGATGAAGCCAGCAGAAGCTCTGTGCTAGGTGGTACTCCCTCCATGGAGCAGCAGTGCACGACTTCAGGGGAGTTTGTTCTTGCATCTCTTTCCCAAACTGAAATTCGATATAAATCTAAGTTCCTTGATGAGTTTGGCTACCATGAAGCCTTTAAAGCAACAAGACCTAGCTCTTGCTCAGCAGGCTCTTGAAGAACAATATTTCCCAGCCTCTGCTTTTACACCTGTGATCAATTTTCCTGGGTTTTCTTTCTGCTTTCGGAGGACAGATTTCTAAGAAATAGCTGAGGAGAAGGCAAAGTTGTACCTCCAGGCCTTGCTGTTGAAACCACGCCAGGGTCCCATCTTCTAGAGCCCTCCCCACAGCACCCCTGTGCCTTTGGGTTGGGGCAGTATGCTCTGCTCATCAGTGTAGGAGATCTGGCATCCTCTTAACACAGCTGAGTGAAAACTGCAGCATGAGCCCAGCAGATCAGGAGAAGGTTCTGTAACTCAGACCTAATTTATCCCTTTGTAGGGAAAGTTCAGTGCATTAGAGTCCCAGGGAAGCTGGGCAAATGAATCAAAGCTCTGCTCATCCCCCAAACAGCCCTTCAGGGATCAAACAGCCTCTGATTGCTTTTTGGAACCTGTAGCTATATCTGAAAACAATAAAAAAACTCTTTTCAGTGCTTAATGCAAAGCTGGGAATGGGAGCTCAAAGCAGCCAGTGTCAAACCAATCCCTGCGCTCCCGCTCCCATCTCCCTCTCATAAGAGCAGGTCAGAGCCCCAGAGTCTCCATGCAAAAAGAAGGAAGTTCCTTAACAGCACTGAAGATCACAGAATTTGCTTTCATAAGATCAAATTTGCTGTAGGGCATCATGTTAGGTATTAATCTACGGTCTCCCATTGTACTCCTCAGGCATTATAAAACTAGCTGATTATACAACCCCATCCCAGAGCCTGCACGTGTCTTCAGATGCTCCTCACACTCCTAACTCACGTCTCAGATTAGATAACCTTCGTTTTGTAATTGCTCTCCGTGCCACCTCCCCTTCCAACATCTGGTCACCTGGAGACTTTAAAAAGCACCTCAAAGTCACCAAGCTATGTGAGATCTCCTAGCAGAGGTTTGACTTTCCTAGAAACATGCCAGTGTCAGAAGAGGGTTTTGTACCGATGGCAGCAGCTGCAGCACCCAAGGAGCCCCAGCAGACAGACTTCCAGCTGGTGCGAGTCAAGAGCACGTGGTGCCGGGTCAAGAAAGGAGAAGCCCTTTCTGATCCCGAGGACAAGATCATTCTTTCCGAAGCAAAAATGTAAGTATAGGAGCTCACATTGCTCCCAGTACATTGGTGATAGGGCTGGACAGCTCTGGCTGTGCAAAGTGTGCTGTGTCCCCAGTGGGATGCACCTCAGCTGAGCTCTCTTTCAACAAGGGAATGGTCAGCTGCAAATTCTCTGCTGTTTTCATACAGCTGAGGGGCTGTGATTGGTGTTGGTTGCACCATCCAAAGCCAGTTCCACCAACTAACATCCAGAATTGCCATGTCTCTTAAGGGTCACATGCTGGAGATGAATGCAGGTGCAGCAAAATTACAAACTGAAGGCATAAGTTTGTGCATTAAAATGTGCACAATAATACTTCCAGTAATATTGTGTTTTAAAAGGTCAGAAGAATTTTTTGAAAGGTATAAATCCACACTGCTTTTCTTTAACACTTAAAAGAGTTAGGGTCAGATTCAGAGGGAGTTTGGTATCAAAGAAAGCAAAGTGCCCCCAAGACGCCATCCAAGAGGATGCTCAGGCATGTGGAAAGAAATCAGGCATGTGGAGAAACCTGATTATCCAATGAGCCATCCATTCAGAAAACAAGCTGAAGTTTCACAGAAACTTTCAATTTTTCTCCATCTGCAGATGAAGAATCTCATAAAATACACTTCACAGTTTCATTTTGTCCTTTTTTGCTATTATTAAGTAACTCTCAAATCTTTCCTGCTTTCTTTCCCTGTCTAGCAGCACTTCCTTTTTCTATCATGTTTGTTTTGAGAAGCATCAATTCACTCTTACCAATATATGGTAGAGAGCTTTCTGTGGAGGTTTGTGTGTGGGTGCGTGAAGGTAGATGGGAGTAAGTCAATTCTTGCCATCAAAATCTACCAGGAAGACAAGGTTTCCTTGATAAAATCTTTGAAAAAATGTTGAAAATCACTTCTCCTTTCCCTTCTGGGAAGCTGAAATTATTGGTCTGGGGTTTTCTGCTGTTTTGCTGACAGACGAGAACTGGAAGGGAAATTTCTTATTTCTTCAAACCTTATGGTTCTTTTCTGTCATTGTCACGTGGAATTTCATCCATCTGACTTTTCACTTAGATGTAATGAGGTTTATCCATCTTGCGGCCCCACGATTCTGCAGTGCACAGGCAGAGATGCCACACGTTCCCCACCTTTGGTTACCTCCTTAAACCAGTTCAGACATGCAGGGTATAAAAGAGAAATATAATGATTGCAAGCTATGTTTTCTCATCCTTGCTAGAGGTGAATGTGTCTCTGAAGGTGGGATTTCCTGGACAGTTGAAGCTCCCATCTATTTCTGCTACAAAGTGGTAGAAACAAACAACATTCTGGATCCCTCTAACACTACTCTTCTCTGGGGTCACATCACTGACACCCAGCAACTCGAGCTAACCACTGGTGGCAAAAGGAGGCTGAGGCGCTTTATCGTCATAGATGAAGTCGTGGATGAACTTTATGGCACCAAAGTCCGGCGTTACTTTGAAGAGAACAACGTGCAGCACAAAATCCTCGCCCTGCCTACCACAGAAGAGACGAAATCCATGGACCTGGTCTTGAACATCCTGCAAGAAGTTCAGAACTTCAGCATTGACAGGCGAACAGAGCCCATCATTGCCATCGGAGGAGGTGTTTGCCTGGACATTGTGGGGTTAGCTGCTTCCCTCTATAGAAGACGCACCCCTTACATCCGCGTCCCAACCACCCTCCTCTCCTACGTTGATGCCAGCGTGGGAGCAAAGAATGGAGTGAACTTCCTCCAGTGCAAGAACAAGCTTGGGGGCTACACCCCCCCAGTAGCTAGCTTTCTGGATAGATCCTTCATTCAGAGCATTCCCCGGCGACACATCTCCAATGGCCTTGGGGAAATCTTAAAGGTATGAACTCCTGCAACTGCAGCTTTTAAACCTGAAATAATGGTAAGATATTTGTCAGCATCTACAGCATTGTTTAGGCAGCCTCGTGGACTCCAAGGTGGGCCACCAAGTCTGCAATGGTGCTTGTAACTCTCTCTATATATCCATATAGTATATTTATATATACATATAGCTATATATCTACATAGCTATATGTGCCTACACAGTTACAGCCACTAAACTTGCTAAATTTTTCCTTTATACGCAATGTAAACAAACTCCCAAACTCAAAACCCGACAGACAAAAGGCACAACCAGGTAAGAAGGAGACTGATCCATAGCACATTTAAATGAACTGCTCACAAACGATTTGAGGCTCATTATTCTGGGGATTAATAATCTGCAAGATCATTCACACCTACCTCGAGGGGTATGATGATTGGGGTCAATCAATCTCCTACGAGACAAATTCTACTTCTAAAATTACCTGGGAAGTGCACTGTAAATGACTTTATGCCTGAAGAGCTTGGAAAACTTTTGATAAAGCAGAGTTCAAGCTGTTCAAGTGTATTAGAATAAAAGCTCATCAGCAGCATTTTTCTGTGTTTGCACTGTGGGAACTCCCTGAGGATGTCTGGAAACTTTTGGCAGGCACTGGGAAACCCAGTTTCCAATGCGGGAGAGCTGTAATGGCAGAGTCAGAAAGGGAGGAAAAAAATCCTTTCTGAACCCCACACATTCTGTACATTGCAGTACTTTCCCGACTTTCCTTCCCTAAAGAGTAGAATTTGCCCTTGTGCCAA